AGCAGTGAGGAATCTATCAGCTGGATGGTAAACCAGAAGGGCAAACAGCCAGAAGGGCAAAGTGCCTTCTCTTTCAGTGACCTGTTCACATGTGCTCCTGTGGCTTAGTCCGACTGTTTGGAAGCTTGTAGAAACCATAGAGATTTTTGTGATCTGGTAAGAGAATGCCTACCAAGTATTGATAGCTTTATTCTTCATGAATGTATCTAATCCAAATTGGTGGCCATCAGTACATCTTGTGGTAGCAAATTTCATTGTTTATGCATTGTATGAATAAGTACTTTTCATCTATTGTGAAGCATTTACCATTTTCATTGGATGATCTGGAATTATTCCAAACCATCCAAACTTTTATACAGCTCTCAGTTATATTCTACTCTTTCTCTAAACATTCTCCTCTTTTCTCTAAACATCCCCAAGCAGTTTACCTTCTCTCCCAGAGGAGTTGCTCCAGCCCCTTAAAACATTGCATTATTGTCAGTTTTATTTTGATTCTTTTCCTAATGATTCCCAACATGGAATTTGCCTCTCACGCATCAGCTGCACACTGGGTAGATGTTTCCATCAAGCTATCCTGTATAACCTCAAGTTCCCTTTCCTGGTCATTTGCTACCAGCTCAGACCCCAGCAGAGAATATGGGAAGTTCGGATTTGATTGCTCCAGTGTGCATTGCTTTACAATTGCTTTACACTGAAATGCTTTTGCTCCTTTAATGCTCATTCCACTTTGGAGAGATCCTTCTGGACTCTTCACTGTCCCATTTTCTTTTCTCTATCCCAAATAATTTGGTAGTGTCAGTTCTTTGAGATGTGTAGATTGAGAAGTGGACCCAAAGAGAGAAAAAGTCCAGACAGGTATATAATCCACCTTTCCCAAATCTCATTGTGCTATTCCCCCATAATTATCAGTTTCTCTTCTTCTGTATAATGGAGATAATCTTATATCATTTATATTCCATCTTTCCAAAATTTCAAGTAAACTAAAAAGGAGAGGATAGATAAGTACAATGAGTGCCTAACCTAATTGGGATGCCTGTAACCTTCTGAACTCAGAGGACTGTGGGCACTTGACATAGACAAAAGGACATGCAAGCAAAAGTCATCTCTGCATGTCTTTCACCCTGCAAAACCCTTCAGTGGCCAATTCCAGTCAAGTGGGGCATTTTGGAGCAGGAGGTAACAGGACTGAAGCATTGCCAGGTTACAGCATATCTGTCAGGGTCCAGGGCTGGGATATACATGGCCAGAGACAAGACCAGAGCAACAGGGGATCAGAGCAACAGAACTTGAGGCAAGACAGGGTTGACATGTAAGGCTTAATGGCAAGTCTAATAGAAAAGTCTCAAGTTTCGTAACCAAACAGGCCAGGATCAGGAATGAGATGTACATATCAAAGCAGAACAAGGAAGTGGTTAGGAACAAACCAAGGATCAAAAACTACGAGGATAAACAGGTGCAGGCACATGGGACAGGATAACAGAGCAGGGGACATGGCAAAGCAGGAGGCAGGCAACTGAGGCAAAGTAACTGGGCAGGATATACAGCAAAGCAAGATATGTGGTGTCATGCAGGAGACATTGCAAGATGCAGGGAACAACAGAAACCAAATGCAACAAAGGTCAGGCAAGAGGCAGGAGCTGAATCACAGCTAATGGACAAACCTGCATTGCTGAGGCAACATGACAAGGCAGGATGCACAGCATGGCAGGATGCAGATCATACAAGAGGCAGGCACAACCGCAAGACAACATGGCAAGGTAGGATACATAGGAACAGTCAGGCAAGGTTCAGGCACTACAATTCACAGGAGGACCTGTGTCGCTGAGGCAGTTCTGAAGGGAAGAGCTTGCTCTTATGCAGCTTTTCTGCCAGGGCTCCTAGCTGACACTCCTCAGTAGAGCTGACGCTGGCCCTGAGAATATGGTGTTCTAGTTCTGGCCACCAGAGCAGCCCAGATCTTGACAGTACACCCACCCCCACTCATGGTCTGGGTTATCAGGGTGGGTTGTATGAAGGCTTGGACCTTGGCAGCCACAGTTGGACCAGGGTCTGGCAGGAGCTGGCAGTGGTACAGGAGGCCTTGACACTTCTAGTGAGGAGCCCTAGCTTTAGAAGATGTGTTGCAGGACTTGATATATCTCCCGATGTCTTCCCAGAGGGTTGTCCACCAGAAGGCCTCACAATCACTAAATCAGTTAAAATCACTAACAACTGAAGGCCTTTTGAGAAAAGAAGGTCTCACACTGTGGTGGAAAGCCATGGGATGTGATAGATAACTGGGCAGACTCCTTTCTTCTCCTTAATATTTGTGTAGGCTCATATTGGAGAAGCCAGTCATTCAGATATCCTGATCCCAACCATTATAGAGTTTTACAGGTCATATAGGTCATTATAGAGCTTTACAGACCCAAGAACTAATTGGAAATGCAGCTGCTCCAGAAATAGTGTAATTTACTCCTGATAATTAGTTCTAATTAATAACCTATCCACTTGATTCTGAAGTTGAGGTTTCCAGGCATTTTTCAAAGGTAGTTCGATGTAGCAGACATCGCAGTAGTCTAGACATGACGTAACTAAGGCATGTGTCACCATGGCCAGATCTTAGTCAGGGTGTCAGAGTAAATTGAGCAAAAGCACTGGTCATTGCTGTCAGCTGAGTGTCCAGGAGCAAGGCTGAGTCCAAAAGCACTCCCAGCCTACAAACCTGTGAGTTTGGGGTGGGGTGGGGATACTGCCAGAGGGAACTCGGGTTAAATACCTGCTCCTGGATTAGCTGTTCCACTGACCAGGACAAGACATGCACTTGATATTTAAAATAAATGTGAGTGAGAGACTGTTAAGGCCCACCTTCCTGCATAATTCCTACAGAATGCTATATGCTTATATTCATGTGAATATAGTGCTGGACATCTGACTATATAAATGTTAATGGATGGAATAGAGCTTTTGATTCAGTTTTCCCTTGAATCAGCATAAAGCTTGTAATACAATGTGTGAAACTCCCTTAACAGTCAATTATTTAATTAAAACAGCTGAATAAATACTAGGCTTGCTGAGATTTTTTTTTTAAAAAAGAAAGTAACATTAAATCCTGAGGCAGTCCAAAATCCAGACTCACAAGACAATTCCCCTGAGACTACACATTCCAGAAGAGCAGCTGTATTAGTCTATAGTAAAAATTTGGCTCTAATGCTGAATAATGGTTCACCAGGCATATCCTCTCAATGGAGTTCCACTCATGGGATGTCTCTCCTGAGTTTTCTCCACCAATTTCCCCCTCTTCCCTGCAATTTCTTGATGCATAGAATCTGCTCAGAGGATCAGGGAATCTTCTGGAAGAATCCAGAAGTGATGCAAGAAGGGAACGACCGAAAATTGTTTCCCTCTTCTATTCCTCCAGTGAAAGTTTCCACTGGATCAGAATCCTTTATGTGGACAGAATGAGATCTTCCATGCAGTATTCTGTGGGTCTTGTGGCACCTTAGCATATTTATTGTTGTATAGGCTTTTGTGAACAAGAGCTCTTCCATGGACTACTGGAGTATCTATCACAAAATGTAGGTCTAGTTTTATGCCACAGTAAATCAATTTGAAATGCAATATCCCTGTTCCTTGTGTAGACTATAACATTCTTTTGCTGCCTTCTGTTTTTAGTCAAATGCTTTTCCTTGTTGCTGCTGTAAAGAATAGTTCAGTGGACACAGACTGCTGAGAAACTCTTTGAGAAATGGAATGGAGTGGTTGGAACTCCAAACAGGGACTACTGTACCCTTTATTTTGTTGCAGCTTATTTTCTTGATATTTCTGAAAAAGTTAGTAAAAGGTATACCGTATGAAAGCAGATATGTTCTTAATGGAAGTGGCTGAAAACTGTCACTTTTTGATTAATCATATTATAAGAATTGAAGGTGTGAAGTGGTTGTTCAGCAAGAAACTGGTTTCCAACAGTTTCTTGGCATAAGTATTCTTGCCATATTCTCAACATAAAAAAATGTCATTCAAAAGACAACACTCTTTTCCATATTGTTAGGCACTTACCAGACAGCAGAGGGAGCTACTTTCTCTTTTTTGAGCACAACAGTTTTGCCAAATTATACAGAAAAGGAAATAAAAGGAGAACATAGCCTCACAAAAATATTTGCATTTTACTAAAGCAAGATAACATGAGATGATAACAGTGCCCTTCTTTTTGGTGTGCTGTTGAATCACGTTGCTTTTGGTGCATTTTTATCAGGTGATCTCTTAATATTAGTAGCACATTCTATATCTACTTGTGTTAAATTGTTATAGAGAAGCTGGGCAGTCTTTGGGGAAGTATGGACATGGTTTGATGAGAGTCATCCCTGGAATGTTCATGTTGAGAACTGTGGATTTTGGGTCAGCAACCATATATATTTATGAATTACTTACCTTTATTTCTTGTGCCTTTCATCATGGAAGCTATTGGGCATCCTATTAGATACTACGTTTATGCACAAGCATAATGAAGGCAGGAAAACCCTTCAAACAACCTTTTGAAGCAAGAAAAGTCTGAGGAATGTAAAAAAGAGTAACAGGAAAAATAGGCATCACAAACTCTGTTTGCACAAGTATCAGTTGTAAAATAGTAAGTGTACGCATCACATGGGATGTTAATGTAATCTGGTAAAGAGAGACAGTTGCAACTGCCCAGGTAGCTTAATACTGTCATTACAGAAGTAACAAGTAAAATGTGCATTCTAGTGTAAAGAAAGCAGTTGAGATATGCATTACATGCCCTACATCTATACAAGTTGTTTACTAAGGATCAACAAGCATTCCACTTCGTCTGAATTAATAAAAGCTATGGATGTGGCTAATAATAAAACTCAAGTAAGGCACCATTATTTGTGGGAAGACTCTCAAGAGAGAATTTCTGCTTTGGGGACTTTTCTCTAACTCTTCACTACCAGGTATCTAGAATTTGTTTTAAGGTTATTTCCACTGTTAACTGAATTCTAATGGGACTGACTGTCTTACAGGTCAAGTGGATGATGTATTGGATTGTGTTTGCCTTCTTCACCACAGCAGAGACACTGACAGACATTATTCTCTCTTGGTAAGTTCCTTGTTGGTATTAGGAACTAAGCAGGAAAGTTTCTAGATACTTCAGTCCTTTTTCAGGCATCATGTAGAATTGACTGCCTTGAGAGGATTCAGTAAGATACTCAAAAGCTGTGGACATTGTTTCATTTGAAGGTGTGTTGTTTGGAAATACTGCAGATAATATTCAGATGCTATAACTCATTGACAGAAATGCATGTATGGTCTTATTTTCCTCACAACCAAATAAAAAACACAAGTAAAAGTTGTAATTGTAGTATCAAGAATCTGAGTTTTTGAAAAAAGCTGAAACATAATAGAAACTGGAGGGTTAGCTTTGGAAGCTGGTTTTCTAAGAGTAATCTGTGAATATTAGGATTCTAACTTTGAATAAAATTGTAGCTTCTAGCCCTGTTGGCTGTCTTTCAAATGTCTTGCTTTGTGAAGCAGTATCCCAAAATTGTTCTCAACAGCATGTATCTTCTTTAGGAGAATATTGATCTGTATTGTATAGACATATTTATCCTGATCAGGGTTGAAGAAGGAAAGATCTGGAAGTGATCACTGTATGAAATGGCCAGTACCTAGCTCACAACTTGTCCAGAAGACTTAAGTGGACCGAGGGTTGAGGACATCAGTGATTCTCAAGTGGAGGACCTTTATAACATCCTCAGAGCTATGGTAGTTTATGGCTCTCCAACAAATTATTAAATAGTGCTCGAAATAAACTCTGTGTTTACAGGGTTGAGAAATAACCTTGAATATGGATTTATCAAGACTATGGAGGAGACTTAAAATGAGACTTCAGGAAGGTACATCCCAGAAAGGGTATGTGTGGCCTCTTCTACAGCTGGCCTTGTCATGCTGATTCCGTTGCATCTGTAGTTCTCTCTTTCTTCCTTTGCTTATCTCATCTGTGCTGCTGCCTTGACTGTCAGTCTTTGTCTCTAACCTGAGCTTGATTCCAGCTTTTCCATTTCTCTCAGGTTTCCCTTTTATTTCGAACTGAAAATCGCATTTGTGATCTGGCTGCTCTCTCCTTACACCAAGGGTTCCAGTGTCCTCTACAGGAAGTTTGTTCACCCAACGCTCTCCAATAAGGAGAAGGTACTTCCTTCAGCTTGCCATGTTTATCATTGCTGAAAGTTGAGTGACATCAGATCCAGCTAGGTTGCAGAAAAGGTCTTGCATTTAGTCCTGCCTGTGCCGCCTCATAATGGGTATATGGCAGTAGCTGCTTTTATAGAGCAAGGGTGAATCCCTAATTTGCAGTCTGATTAAAATGCATTAGCTTTAACGCAAATAATGGTGATCTGGAGCACACAGCTCTTAGCTGTGATCCAAAGACCATGCATGCTGTTCCATGTGTATAGCAGGACTTTCTCTCCTTTCCTCTTGCTATTCCTTGTGTCCCCTAAATAGTCATACTTGAGGGCTGAGGGACTTTCTGGAGCAGCAATTGTTGTACAGGGAGCCACAAACAGAAAGAAAACCGCACACTGTTTCTCTTTGTGCATACAGAGGTGTTTTCCACTCATGCATGGTACAGTTTGGATGCTGGCCAGGGACCAGCATTAGTTATTTAATTAATTGATTTTTATTCACTGTACTTGAGGACAATTATCCCCCATTACCTTGTGCTGTTCTAGTACATAGCAAACTATTGGCACACAGGCCCAGTTAGTGTGAGCCTGTGGACAGAAGGAAAAGGATGATAGCCGTAATCAGATGGCAGAAATTCCATGGTGAAAGCCATTCCCTGCTGCTTTTAAGTGGTTAATGCATCTTTATGCTAGAATAGAGCAGCTTTCAGAGCCTCTGAAGCGTAGCATCCACTAGAATATGGAGTCTCCATCTTTAAACTGCTATAAGTCGGTGTTAGACAAGAGGCTGAGATCACTTGACTTTGAAAGATCCATTGTGCTGTGCCATCCAATCTATTTTGATTTCTTGGGTTTCTCAGCTTTCAACAGTGTAATTTGCATGGCATCATAGCTCAAGCAAGGGTTAGGATTTCATGCAGAAAGCGTCTGGTATATTATCATAGTGCTAGAAAATGGAAATGTGCTAGACTATAAAATGCACTCAATAGGCAGCTTTAAAGCTTATGATAGTCTTAATGTTTTCTCTGGTGATACTTTGGGATTCAGAAAAGAGTGTGGTCAACTGCATGAGTTCACAGGCAAAAGGTTGTTCACTTATGTTCGAGGACTGCTGCTTACTGGTTTGTTTTGGGTGGAGTTTGTTTTTAGGAGAGAGTTTTTTGTACTTGGATGCAACTTACTGTTTCGTACCTGTGCCATCCCTTTACCATAAATCAGTTGTGGGTGGCACAAATATGTTTAAACCATAACTTTTCTTGACAAAATACACAGATCAGACCTTTATAGAATTTTTTATCTGCTACTTGTCTGTGTATTTGATAGGGATCATGCTGAATTACATTTTTCAGCATGAATTAAATTTAATTTTACATGAATTAAATTTTACAGAAGGGGGTTGGACTTGATGGCCTTCATGGCCCCTTCCAACTCTAAATACCTTCATGTAATACAGGGTAATACAGCCATTTTCTGTCTCTAAATTTGATTGAGCAAGCACTGGACAATCCTTTTTCTGGTGCACATGAGCTGATAATTTCTAAGAACACTGTTTTCACTGCATGGGTCCATTTAAATGCTGTCAAACATTTAGTGGCTTCCCTGACTGATGTTCTTTTCTTATGCTGCATAAAAATCTTTGCAGATATTTAGATTTCTGTAGATATTTAGATTTCTGGAGAGATCTATGGCATGAACTCAGTATGCCTTTTGTGATTTTCAAGTTTTTTTTATTACATGATAGTTCTGTGCTGAACAGGGGAACTCACTAAGACAGTCACTAGAATAAATGGATATGGTAGATTTTCCATTAACAATATATAGTTGTTCTGGCCCTGCTGGGGTCAAGAATTACTTTGACAATGGTCTTGGTAGATCATGTCAGTTGTGTTACACAAGGTCATTGAAGGGATCAGTTGCACAATGTGGAATATCACAAAGTTTTTTTGCCACATGTGTCTAAGTGTGAGGGGTCTTAAAACAGAAGGGGGTTAAGAAAACCATCTCTAGGAATTGCTTTTATTTTCTGTGGCAAAGTTTTGGTATATGTGTTCTTTTTGTTCTCTTTGAAGCTGTTAATGCTGAAGAAGATTGAATTGGGCACAGCAAATATAATAACCCTACTATTTGCATGAGCCAGGTGAATTTGGTATTCATTTTTTATTCAAGCCTCAAAGGTACTTACGTGACATTTTTTTCTTCGGGATCCAATTTTCTCATCATTATCTATTTATGAGCTGCTCTCCCATCATATTGTGCCCAGTGCAGCTCACAGAATTTCAGATGAACAGCTGCAAATAATTAAAAAACATAATAAAACAATTAGAAAACCATTGTGTCAAGGAGACATAACAAGCTGGGTTCAGAGTTGACTCAGCTGGATTGACACAATATGACCACCTACACTCAGGGCTGAATATGAGTTGACAGCGTGCCGTCTTTGAAATGTGGGTTGTTTAAACATGTTTCAGGGTGTGAATCCAGCTGCACTAACAACCAAGATTTGTTAACCACAGGTAACTAACAAAAGAGAACCTCTGATTTATTGTTAGGTTGTAAACAGTGGGTTGTTCATAGTTAAAAAAAACCATGGCTTGTTATCATGGCTGGGCTCACACAACTTAACTCACATTTCAAAGATAATTCTTGGTTCACTACCAACCCACACTCAAACTTTACTCACCCTTGGGTGTGAGTTTTTGTATTAGTGTGGAGGTTGCCTCATTGAACAGAAAGAACCAGGATCCAGTGGAAGCTCTGCCCTGGATGAAAGCTATAGGATGGTGATTTTTTTCCTATCCCTTCACCCTATAGCCCTTAGTGCCATCACACATGTGGGGACCCACCCTGTCAGAGCAAATTTGTATGAGCTGCAGAGGGGAATGAACATTTCTTGTATCCCCTTTTATCTGCAGAATCAGCCAGTTCACAGAATTATGCTACACACAGCTCTGGATCTAGCCCACTAAAAAGTATTCATTTATACTACTTTGTTATACCATAACTAAGCAAATTGCCTAATCCAGTAGCTTGGAACTAAAGAACCCAGCCCATAAGGTTGCACGTTGTACATGACCAAATAAATCTCTTTAGCAGCTAACTTTCCTACTCATGTAGCCTTCTTCCCAGCTTTCACCTGCATCACCTCTCTGTCCCTTCTGCACCTCTCACCTGGAGAGGTAAAGAGTATCAGTCCTCTTCCAAGCCTCACATGCACGGATAGTTTTGATATTTTCATTTCTCTCAGCCAAGTATCTTTTCCAATGTGTTCTTTAAGGTAGAAGGCACTTTCAGGCTCCAGGGTGGTAGGTGAGGCAAGTAAGCATGCTCTGCCCTTTAATGTCTTTTCTCCTTGCCTCACACCCCACCGCAACTGCCTAACTGAAGTTTTTGCTACAAAGATCCTGTGTCTCTTCAGCTGATAGAATAGCTGACCACTTAGGTTCCCAATGGTTGTATCTCTATTATTTCAGTCTTATGAAGTAAAATCTGTTTTCAACTGTTAGAAATGCTAAAATTCCTTCTATCTTGGAATCAAAACTTTGAACCCATCAAATTATGTATATCGCATTAGTTTCCTGTGAATAAATTGGTGAAAAACACAAGAGGATGGGTTCCATACTATGCCTGTATCCTCAATATTTGAAGCAAGGTCTCTGTGCTCATGTGTGCATTAGACTTCTCCTAAGTAGGAGAGGTCACTGTCTCTGTACCATGTCACCAGTTTACCTCTTTGAAGCATTGAGAACAAGACATAATAAAATAATTGCTAATAACTCTTTGTCCTTTATGGAAGGCACAGCCATGCTTAGTCATAAATTTACTTAGTCTTGGAAGAGAGTATAATCTTTGTTAGTCATAGTCATTGCTGAGGATATTAGTCCTGAAGTTATTCTAGCAATTAATAGGTTAATCTTTCATTTAAAAAATTGATTCAAGGGCAAACTAGACATGACTAGGGCAGCCATGCTTGTTTATTGACTTGCCCGTTCTATTATGTATAATGTAAGAGCAGGAATGGGATGTGTGTGTCTGATCTTACACTGAAAAGGACATGCACCTGGCCTTCTTGCACTCTTGTTAGTGACCCCAGGCACTCCTTTCCTTGCTCACTTTCAATATCAGAGGCAAGCAGAAAGAAGAGTGCCAGGAATGACACTAGATGGCTGTAAGATCCATGCTGGATCAGATTGAGGATCCATTTAGTCTTGCATGCTCTTCACACAGTGGCTAACTAGCTCCTCACAGGAGACCCACAAGCAGAGCAGCGAGACTTCGGCTTTCCGAACCTGTGATGTGAAAGTTGGATCTCTGCCATCCCCACCCCTACCATACTTGATCCATTAATGGGGCTGTGGTGTGGAAAACATGCATAGGTGTCTGTAGTGCATCTTGCCTGGTCCTTAGTCTTTCATTTGCTATGGACCAAATGCCAACAATTTAATTTTATGTCCCTGTACAAGGCTACTTGTGTCCTGTAACTAACTGAAAATCATTTCAGTGTGAAAGCCAAATGATGAGTTCCACAGTTCATACGGATAGCCAAGTGACCACTAAACAGTACTAATGTTGAGCAATAGCTGGCTGATATATGTGGGCTTTATCAGGGTGTCAATCCTTACTGGTTGAGATAGACCAGAAAGCACATCAAGTGGGGACACCATCTTCACCAGATGTTTAATCCAGATGGTTTTTTAGCCCAGACTCTGAGGCCAACATCGTAGTTATTTGAAATTGGCCTTCAGTATTGTACTTACTGGGGCCAGAAATGGTCTGTGAAATCCCTGTTGTTCTTCATTGTGGTCTCTGTGCATCACACATATGAGTGCTGTTCCTGCACAGTGCCTGTGTTTGAGAAGATTCTCCCAGCATTAATTGTTTTAGAAGGAAAGAAAAGGAGGCTTCTCCATCACTACTTCTTGCTGAATTCTTACCTTGACAAGGATAGGAGGATATATAATTGTTAATTAATGTGTTTTACATTGTTTCACATATATATTGATACTCCATCAGATATTCTTTCCCCCTTTGTAGCAACTGAACAGGAAGGATTTAATCAGGCATTTGAGAATGTTTGAATGTGTTTATTTTTGACACACGGTGGCTTACTATGACAAATCTGAGAACTTCTATTTTATTGTTCAAACTCTATAGACTTGGTGCACTCTGGAAAGCTTAAAAGCTTTTATGTAAATGTATCACCTATTAAAAGGGCTATAGTTTTACATTTTTACTCTTTAAATGTGGCCTCCCCCCAATTAAATCCTAGGAAATTGACGAGTATATCAGCCAGGCCCGTGACAGGAGTTATGAAACTATGATGCGAGTTGGCAAGCGAGGATTAAATTTGGCAGCAAATGCAGCAGTTACTGCAGCTGCAAAGGTAACTCCTTATACCTGTGTGCAACATGCTCCCCTCTGCTGGACTGTTATGCTTTCATACCTCCATTCCATTCCATTTGTCCCATTCCTCTGTGTTGGTTACCTAGTGCTTATGTTATTCCTTCTTGTTTACTTGAAAGACTCATCGACTATTCACACATAGCCACAAGCCATGGCAGGAATGTCTTGTCATTATATGTGAATATTGGAAGTAAGGTAAAACAGCATATTTGATTACTGTGAATCATCTCAGAGAACCAAGTTTGCTCTAAGGTTTCCATGTTTCATGCTTCAGCATTGCTTCTAATTATGTATGAAGCGAGTTGCAATGTTTTTCTGTAGTTTTGTGTTACCAGCCAGCGAGTTCAGTGGCAGGAGCCACTGCAACTCCTCCACCTGCTGGCAGATGGGGCACTGATTGGTTGCCCCCACACTCCCTGTCCTCCACCCCAGCATGTACTCCCCAATGCCCATCCATCCCACAGCTGCTATGTCAGCTGTCTGGCTGATTACTCATCTCATGTGCCGCTTGGCCTATAAACCGCCTATCTGCTGATCACCGGCCTGCCCACTGCTACCTGGATGGTTTGTCTGCCTACCCACCTCCTGGCCAGGTTGCCCACCTACCCACCTCCTGGCCCAATCACTTGCCTCACATGTTGCTTGGCCAATCACCAAGATGTTTCAGTTGCATGGCAGTGGCTCACTATCGCTTTGTGAGCACTTGCCCTTTGTGCAGATTCTTTCATGGTGTCCCCAGCTCCTGTGTGAACTCACACACTGTCCTATGTGAGAGGTGGGGACATGGGAACAGCATGTGAGACTTTGTGCAAAGGGTGGGCACTTACAAAGTGATAACACACTGCTGCCTCGCAAGCCAGACATCTCAGCAATTGGCCAGGTGGCATCTCAGGCAGGCTACCTGGCCAGGAGGTGGATAAGCAGTCAGTGAGCCAGGTGGCACACAAAATGAGCAATCAGCCTGGCAGTGGACATGGCAGCAGCAGCGTGGCCAGGCATCAGGGAGTACTTGCTGGGCAGGAGGACAGGGAGCACCTCCAGCAGCAGTGGCTGCAGGGGCAGCCATGTGTGGTGCTCCTGTCAGTTCATTGCTCTGCTGTGGCTGTGGCCTCACCTTGCTACTCTGAGGAGTAGACCTGGCCTCTGTGGAGCAGGAGGTGGAGGGAAACGGGCTGGATGAGAACTTGTCCAGGGAGTGTGCAGGCCAATGGGGGAGAGGTGGGTGACATAGGCAGGAGCAGTGCATGCTGGGATTGTTTCCCACCTGCAGGGGCTGATGGAATATATGCCACTATTTGGAGGGAAGATGGAGGCACATGGAGGACACAAGGTAACTGCACAGTAACCATTCGTGGCATGTATGAACAGCCCCATTGAGTTGGTTCACACAACTATGGCTTAATTTACCCATGTAGGCTATTGCATTGTGCCAGGGTTGGCATGATACGCAATCCCAGGCAGCAAGGATTGTTTGAGGATTAGACAACCCTTAGCCCTAAAATAAGTGATGGGTACTTTGAGGGTTGTCTCACTCACAAACATTCCTTGTCACCTGGGTTCACACACATGACAGCCCACAGCAAGGCAGGCAGTAATGGTTCTCACAGGCATCCATCACATCACAATAGCTGCTGTCAGTAAATTGACTCACAATCAGCTGTCATGTCATGTAAAACAGGTAATTCTCTTATCTGGCTATTCTGTTTTCCTATTGTGCCTTCTTCCTGTTCCCATACCGTTTTTCCATCAGACCCTTCCAATGCTTTCTGAATGATACAAAGTATATGAATATTTATAACTAGCCTTTGTATCTTAAAGGGCCAGGGAGTTTTGTCTGAAAAACTACGGAGTTTCAGCATGCAGGACTTGACTTTGATTCGAGATGATGACACCGTGCACTTGCGGAGCCCTGAGCCACATATGCGTACCTCTGCTGCTGGCCTTCTTGAAACTATTGATGATTCAGGTAACAGTGTTCATTTTATTGTTCCATGAGGGCAGATATCTAAGAGTTGAGACCTTCAGGTAAAAGTGTAAGGCTGCTTCCAGATGGAGGATTCCTGTACTAACTGTTAAAGGCACTGCACAACTATTCCACCTTTTCCACCTTAGCATTTTTTTGCCTGGGGGAGGAGAAAAAAAGATGGAGGAAGCTTTGGGGGAAAATGAAAGGGCTAAAATGGAAAGCAGCAGTGACTGGATTTTCCATAAAAATCTTGAATGGGACAGGACATTTTCACAATTTTATTATTTATTTAAAACATTTCTATATTGTGCTAGCCAGTCATCTCTCTGGATGGTTTGCAAACATTTAAAATACAAAGCAAAACCCAGCATCACAATAAGATAAAACCAAGAACAATTTACAGTCATCATCCATAAAAACAAAACATATAACCAATAACAGTAAAGAACAGAATTAATCCACAGTGCCATAAAAATATAATATAATATTTCATCAACTAAAATACTGAGAAAAGAAAGGTGTAAAGTGGCACCAGGTGTAAAGTGTCAGTGCCAGACACACCTTTCTGAAAAGCTGGTTCTACAAATGGGGAGCCTCAGCCAAAAGGCTCTTCTCTTAGTAGCCTCCTTCCCTATATCCTTTACAGGTGGCTCCTGGAGAAGGACCTCTGATGATGACCTTAGGGTCCAGGCAGGCATGTATGGGAGGAGATGTTCCATCAGATATCCAGGTCCTATACTTTTCAGGGCTTTATAGGTTAAGGTAAACACCTTAAAGTGGGCCCAGAGTTCAACTGGCGATCGGCAAAGTAAATATAAGATTGCTGTAATGTGCTCATGCCTCACAGTTCTTTTTACGAGGCAAGCTGTACTATTTTGAACGAATTGCGGTTTCTGACAGTTTTAAGGGCAGCCCCATGTACAGCACTTTATGGGAGTCCAAACAAGAAGTTACCAGTGTGTGGATCATTGTTGCCAGGTTCTGCCTGTCCAGATAGGCATGAAGTTGATAAATCAGCTGAAGATGATAAAAGGCCATGTAGCTCACCTGGTATTCCAGGGACAGCCCTCGGTTCAGAAGCTCCAAACTCTATCCCTTAGGTTGAGTGCAACCCTGTCCAGGGCAGGGCTGATGTCTTCCATCTGGACAGAGGACCCACCATAAAAGCTTTGCTTGAAAACAACCTAAATAGGTAGTATTAGTGGGGTATAACAATGTTGCTGCTTCTCAGTAAGTATGTGTATGTCTTTTTTCCCCAAAGCGGTACCATTGAGGAAGGATTTGTCTTTATTGTTGGAAATATTGCATTTGTTGAGCTAATGAGTGGCTCTTACCATCATGATCACATTCCACATAGTACTTAGAATTATGATGGGCATGCTGCTTAGATGAAAAATTATATTTTCCCATATTTGTGGAGGGTTTGGCCTCCCTCTTGCTTAAGTTCATCTTTTCCAATGCACTTGCATCCCAGCACCAAAAATGGTGGTGGCAAATGTGCTCTGGTCCCAATATAGATTGGGGACAGGTGGGTTGTTGCAGAGGAAAATCTCAAGCACGGGGTTCAAAGAAGTGTTTAACTTCATACGAGTATCTTGTTTGACTCTAAGAGGTGAACTTCGCACTTGTGTAGGGAAGGGCTCTCTTTCCTCTCCTCCTTGTCACCCAAAGCCTCATAATCAGGGAAAGATAAAAACCTTCTGCTGCTCCTCTGTATAAGAAAAGAGGCAGCCCTGCTTTGGGTTTTCTTCTCAGGTGCATCATGTTATTCTTCATCAGAGGAGATGACACTAACACAGAGACAAAATGGAGCCCAGTCTGATGCCAGAACGGACCCATCAGATGATGATACAGGAGACAAAGTTCCCAAGAGGACCCAGAGCCTTAAAGCTCCAAAGAAAGTGACAAAGACTGAGGTAAGCTTCAGTGTAATTGTTTGCAAGGCTAGCATTTGCATCTGGTGGGAGGAGCTTGCCACTCCTTAAAATAAAAGGGAGGAAATGCTGCAGTTCTTACGAAGCCTCTTACGCTACCTGTGTTCTTCAACCGGGCACACACAATCCTTTTTCATAGCTGTTTCCCTCCACCACCTACTACCAGTGTGTGTGCCTGCAAGTCAGCCTAAGTTTGTCTTTTGCTGTGCTGAAGCATGGTTTTACATTGCCCAAGTCACTCAATCCACAGTTAAAGGCACATGCATGCCATCTGGCATAGAAGCCTTCATGATTTCTGCTTTAGCGAGACTATTATGCTGTGCAAGAAGTGGTATTACTGAAGGAGTGAAAGTGATGTGATGGCAGCAACCACTGGATTGTTCATGCATCGAGCACGGCGGGAGTGGGGGTCGAGTGTAAGGCTCACATCAAGGAGGCAGCTGATGAAGGGGGCCAGAGCTGCTGCTCATCCCCTGCCCAACCACCCCATGCGTCATTGTCCGAACCCTCCAGACCAGCTTTGATACCCAGAGTGAGTTGGACTATGGGAAAAGTATCTTGGATGGTGGGCCATGTGATAGACCAGCAAAGAAAAAAGATTCGGCTCCCCACCCGGTGTGCATTTTTTTTTGCTAGAATTGCACTCCTCTGCTTCAGACTGGCAGTTTCTGCATGGTCTCCTTCCAGTGCTTGTATAAGGAGGGGGCATGGCCTGCAGACATCCCCTCAGTTGTCAGTGTTTGAGCTCCTCTTCCTTACTTTTCTGGTGCAAAAGTTATTACCTTGTTAAAAAAGAACACAGTTTCTCATAATTGGCATGGTGGTCTCCTTGGTGGCCCCATTCACAGGGCTGGTGCTACCATTAGACCGACTAGGTGGCCATTTAGGGTGTAGACCTCAGAGGGGTGCAGAACTGACCTGAGGGGCACAGTTTTATACAGATTAGTTTCTTGAAAAAATGCAACTGACAATTTATATCTTTTATTTTAAGATAAATACCACAACAGTGCTGTGGAATATAATTAATCATAAAATTTTATATAATTAATTAATATAGATGCTTTGTATGTCCTGTACGCCCTATCACTTGCAAAAGTCCCCCCCCCCCCCGGGACAGCTGCTGCAGCCTGCCTCCTGGGGTTATAAGTCCGCAAGCAGGGCTGAAGGGCAGGCAGCAGTGAGGGAGAAAACCTGTTGGGTACCTCCCAACAAGGTAGGAGGAATGGTCTTCTCAACAGACAATCAAGCAGCTCAAAAACTCGCCCTAACATTTTTAACATTTCCCAATAGGTAAAACAAATACCAGAAAACCTCCATAAATGGACTAGTTGGCGTAATTTTTAAGGTAGAAAAGATGCTAGTGATTTGTATATACTGTATTGTTCTTTGAATAACATCAGTATGGTATGGTTTGGGATAGACAATTATATGTTACCATTAACTCTCAAAGAAGGCAAACCTTATGAATTATATCATCCTGCTTTGAGACAATGTTGCCAGTCATTGCTGCATCTCAAAATAGTCCTTTGAGTCTCAAAATAGGAGACTCAAAGTTATCCCAGAAGATTCAATCGAAAGGAACAAGCCTCAGTGAATATACTCCTTTTTAGCTCTCCAGAGAGCCAGCTAAAAAAAAAGAAACCAAATAAAATAAGTAACTGCAGAGAAATTTCTCCTTATCAAGTGCAAGATAATTCTCCCTCCCATTATCTCACAATGAGTGTGAGAAGAGTGGCAGGGGGACACACTCTGTTGTGTCAGCCAGGAAAAAAGGCAAGGAAATAGCTTCCAATGGTTTCAGCAACTTGAGGAAACAAAGCAAGAAGAGAGAAGGAAAACAAAGGGAAAAGGGCAAGAAACTGCCTCTCAAGCTAAGAAAAGAAACCACTTCATACAACAAACTGTACACCCCAGCAACACCAAGAAGAGAGACAGAGTGGAAAACACTATAATCTCAACAGCTATTCTGGAAAGAAATGGGCAGAAAGACAGCTTCATGGCTGCAAGAAAGGGGAGGAAAGTAGGGAAATTCTTCTGTAGCAACATTTAGAGCATACTTGCTGCAGAGGAACCAGTGCAGGGAAAAATACCTCTGCACTAAGAACTTTCCCACACCTTTCCCTAAAGCTGTGTGAATACCCTACTTATAAGTCAGCAATAACAACCCCTGGGACTCAGCAACTATGGCTGGCAATAGATGATCTCAGCCATGGGTGGCTGAGAGATGGCAAGCTGCATCAGTAAACAGGGAAGGACTAACACTCAGGATGCAATTGTGGTAAAGTTTGGGCTAACTACAGTCCTGGCTTGTTCCTGGACTGATCTGAAACTTATTTAGAAAATACAGCCATTTTTCTAAAACACCAACCATCTGGAGCTCATAAACCACAGGCAGAAGGAGCTAAAGAACAAGCAAAGCAAGATAACTTTGTACACAGAAAGCAATGAAAGAAGAAGAATATGACTGTACCCTTGTTGAATACCATTGAAGAAGTTGTACATGGTGCTCCTCCTACAAATGATATAAAAGGAAGTTTCACAATTTGGAGATACTTCAGTAAAACACATTGAGGGAAACGAGGATTTCAAGGAAAGTGAGAGTACTGCTGCAAAGACTGCAAAAGAAGTTGGTATTGTGCCCAGCTTGAATTACAGTGACTGCTAACTGGCCTTAACTATTGCAATAAAAATTTTCAACAACTTATAGTACAACATGGATCACAGCAGATTGCATCTGATTTTCCCAAAGACTCAGAAAACAGAAGGTTTTCTCCTATTGGTGATATTAACCAGCACAAAATCAGGCAAAAAGTACAATATTGGCAACAAATCTTGGAATTCTTGATTGCTTTGGTCAGAATTCTTGGCATGCAAAGAACTTATTTATTGCAAGCCGCCCAAGACGTTCTGTAAAGGACAGGATAGAAAAGCTTTTAATTAATAAATAAATAAAATGTGGCATTCCATGGTACATGTGAAAAGTTGTACAGTTCTAGCAATGGAAATATTTTGACGTTTGTAGAATATGTAGCCCTTTGTGATCCTATCATGAATGAACTTTTGTGCAGAGTTAAAGATGAAGAAACAATAGTTCACTATGTAGAAAACTATATCCAAATTGAGTTTATACTGCTTCTAGCAGGTGCTATAAAGCAGGAAATTTTAGCACATATAAACAGCCAAATACTACTCAGTTATTCTGGACTGTACACCAGATGTTAGTTATATAGAACAAATGACAATGATTGGATGTTATGTCAATGTAATCAAACCATCAAGTACTGAGATGCCTGAGCCAGAGATTGTGATAAAAGAACATTTCGTGGAATTTGTTCCACTAAAGGAGACTACAGGTGCCTTTATAACAGAAACGCTTCTTGGATGGCTTGAGCAAATGAGATTACCGCTTGAGAATCTGTGTGGTCAAGGTTATGATAATAGGAATAACATGAAAGGCAAAGAAAATGGCATACAAAAGAGAGTCCTACACACGTGCCTTTTTCGTGCCGTGCAATGCACACTCTTTAAACTTGGTAGTCATTGATGCTGCTAAATGTTGTCTAGAAGTAAAAAGTTTCTTCAGTTTGGTTCAACAGATCTATAATTAGTTCTCTGTATTGACTCAGTGTTGACAAATTCTAACTAGCCATGTATCAGGCATAACTGTTAAGCCATTGAGTCAAACAAGATATGATAGTTGGATTGATGCTTTGAAATCATTGAGATATCATCTTGGTAGTATATATGATGCTTTAATGAAGATATTTGATGATATGAGCCTAAAAAATTCTATCTGGAAATATTTCTTCAGTTGAAGTTAAGGTCCTTGCTGATGCAATTTATAAGTTCAAGTTTGTGATATCCCTTGTTACATAGTACAACATCTTTTTTGAAATTAATCTTACAAGCAAGCTATTACAAAATAAGGCTGAAGCTGATTTAAACTCAGCTATAAACCAATTGCAAGTGACTTACCTTGTGGGCTATAGGTGTGATGAGGATTTTCAACAAGTTTTGATAGATGCTACTGAGATTGCAAAGAAACTAGGAATACAAGCAAACTTTGCAACAGAACAAGTTAGAAAAAATTTGGAGAAAGAAACAGCAGTTTGCGTATGGGGCCCAAGAAGAGGCACCGCAAGATCCAAAGCAGAAATTTGAAGTAGCTTTCCACTATGCCGTCTCAGATTGACCATACAATCTGTTGAAGAAAGATTCTAACAGCTACAACAGTGTAATTCCCGATTTGGCTTTCTGTATGATATATACAGTATCAACAATTACTGAAGATTTCAGTAATTACTTAAGGCCTGCAACAACTGGGAAAAATAACTGGAAACAAAGATATTGATGCTGAAGAAATATGCTGTGCACTTACTGCAATAGCTCGAAGACTGCCAGAGTCTATGCCTCCACAAGGAGTACTTTTCATACTGCAACAAAAACTGCTGGATGGTGTGCCTAATGTTCCTGTTGCTCTAAGGATCCTTCTCACATTTTCAGTGTTGGTGGCAAGTGGTGAATGCAGTTTCTCAACACTCAAACTTATAAAATTATATGTACACTCAACAACGCTCCAAAAGAGACTAGTTGGGTTGGCAACTATGTCAACTGAACATGCTCATATATCAGCACTTGACCTGAGGGAATTGGTGACTAAATTTGCAAATGGCATGCAAAATGAGATTTTGATATGCCTGAAATGGAAACATTCAAGAGACTTAAATTTTAACATCACAATTCACAGGATTATTCAAAATCATTTGTGATTTGTGTGTTAAAACTGTTTTTGTATTTGAGAAAGAAAATCAATTGTGTTACTTATTCTTGCATTTTTTAAAGCAATTTCAAGTTTTGTGCTTTTCATTTTTCCTGCCATTCATCTGCATTTGGAAATTGGCTAGCAGTGTGTGTGTGGAGGGTGCAAGTAGTTAGTCTTGTCTAAGGCACAAAAAGGCCCGGAACTGTCCCTTCCCTGTCAGCACATCTTGCTGGTTTGTGCAGGGTGCTTTTGCTGTTCTGCTCCCCTGCTGGGCCACAGCTAATAATGCATATCATTGGGCAACAAAAATGTGCTGTGGCTGGCTTCCTGGGAGCATCCACAGGCCAGAGTCACCCATTTCCTACACATGGGGCATTTCTAACATGTAGACATACTCTCAAGAGGAGCTGAAATTGTAACTTTTATTCGGTTTGGTGGTTTTAAAATAGTTTTGTGCATTCAAGATTCCCTACAGTCTGTTTCTGGAAAAAAAATACACTTGAAGAAGATGGTAAAAAAAGGAAAAAGGGAAAATTGATTGGAAACCTCAATTTTATATGTTCTCTGAGTGAAGGCTCCTTTATTGTTATGTTTTTATTGTATTGGCAGTTTTCTGTTCCTGCTACTATATAGATTTGCTCAGCCTCAGCTCATTAATGCAATTGATGCAGTAATTGTATTAATAGAATTAAGAGGGTTTAAGAGTCAGGTAGCAATTGATCAACATTTTCAGCAGGTACTCCCATAGTTTCAGGAGCAGTAGTTCAGCAAAGATGGCATTTTGGGGGAAATTTGTTCTTGTTCTGCAACTAATTTAATGTCCCTGCTTTCTCTTGTTTTGCAGCCCCCACAAAAAACTGTGAAAGCCCGCCCTAAGAAGAAAGTTGTACCCTCTAACACTGCTGGCGAGTCAGCCTAAGGAAAACCCAGTCTGTCTGTCCCAGGGCAATTCTGTCATTTCAAGGGGCACTCTCCAAGGAAAGGGAGCTGAGATCATGTACATAACAGCTACTGCTTTGTAGAGCTTATTCCAAGGCAAGAGGGTGACTGAAATTTGGCACCAGGATCAGAGGATGGCCATCCTCGGGAATTATTTACTCTTCATCTCTGTGGTGGAGAGAATGCTAATCTGTTTGTACATAGCCTGTTGCTTTGGGATTCCCTCTCTGTGTGTAACTCTAATAGGGAAATTTCTTGCTGGAAAAACTCTAATTAGGGTTACAGCCATCTTTGACAGAGAGACTGTGGAAACAAATCAAGACTGGTGCCACTGAAATTCTAATTGGAAGTGGGGAGCTTCCCATAATATTTCAGCATTTCACTGGATGTCATGCTGTAGCTGCTGTGGGGAATTGTTAGGAAGTGCCTGAAGTGAAGTGACTGGTACTGAAAACTGTATCATCCAAGCTTGTTTTGGCAGGAGAAAGAGGCAGAAGGAATAGTTTGCATGGTGCTTTGCAATGGGTCATTTGTGATGACAGTGGGATTGGGGTTTTTTTTCTGGGGGACTGCTGATGTTTTGCAGAGGGGCTGAAAGTAAGAAAGCGAGTGGCTAGCTTCTTTACCAGTATCTGGTGCCTATTTCTAAGCAGCCTCTTTTGCTTGGGTGGAAGTGTTGTATCTCTGCTTGTGGTAGGTGCTGGGAAGGTAGAACTGTTTGCATGTGGGGATTTTCCCAGGTAGAATTAAAGTCAGGGAGGAAGATGCTCTTGGATGGCTAGGAAAGCCATAGGTGGGGCTGGGGATGTGCACATATCAGTATCTTCCCAAAGAGTTGGATTCCTGAATAGTCACTCTTTAGCAACCAAGCCTTTTGGCCCCCACTTCAGAGTTGCCTTTATATTTTAGATTTTACAGGACAGGTTGTTTTCTGTACGTTTTTTCCCAGAAAGGCATAGGTATGGAGTAAGTTAGAGGGTAGCTAGATGGATAGTACCTAAGTTCCTGCAGTGTACTTAATTATGCTTTATTTGCACTGAGAATATAAAGTTGGAGAGTGGATCAGTGTCGTCTGGTGGGTAGGTAAAAACAACTTTTTTAAAAAAAAATTCTGAGTGGATTCTTCTAAGAAGGGAAGTTATAAGGACATTCATAACGATTCTTCAGGAGGACAGTGGATGAGGTTTCCCAGCTCTCAGGAACTACCCACTGACACCACTGCTGTTTTCCACTGTTTCCTGCAAACTTTGGTTCCTTGTTAGAGGCAAAATCATGTTTTATGAAAATCAGAGCTCAGCTTTTGCGTAATATTCCAATCAAATGGATGAATGAATACTGAAGAAAATTTCTGTTCCAGGCAATCTGACATAGCTAATTATGACTATCCTCATCTGCGATTATAATGCAAGAATATAGAGGCAAATACTATATGCTTCTGTTTTCCAGGCTAGCCTTTATGATGATTTTTCCATTTTCTGAATATGTGCCAAAGCCACCAGCCTTTTTAAAAAGTGGATCTAATATGTGAAATTTCAACAGTACAGAAACCAAGTTTCAGTAGCCCTCACTTATTGTAGGTTTATTCACAAGTCTCTAGATACAGGTGGAATTGTGAGCTGAGTTTGGGTGTGCAACAAGCACTGTCCCTTGCAGGTGTTTCACTGTGTGATATACCTCCATTTTTTCCTGCACAGACTAACATTTCCTGCTTCATAAAGATATTGGCTCCAAAGTAAAGCTCCACTGAGTTCAGTGGGGTTTACCTGCCAGTAAGCATACTTTTAGGATTGTAGCTTCCAGCAAATGCCCTTGTTTTTTTACAGTAACAGAGCAGAGAGGACCTATCATTAAGATCACATAGTCTTTTCTTTTGAAGATGCTGATTTCATTCTCTTACAGATCAGTTACACATTTGCACTTTTGTCTTGCACTTGGACACCTGGCAGTGCAGTCTCTGTAAGAACAAAGAGAATTAACAATTTCCAACATTTTGCCTTTTTTGGCAGCTATTTAATGCAAAAGATTTGGCGGAAGAGAGAAGACATTTTGTAATTTTTCAAGGATGCGGACCCAAAATCTCAGATTAGCCTTTTAGCAGTTGGGGGGAATGATTTTGGTTTGCTTAGTGTTAGAACATGGAAACATAGTGTACTTTTTACATAATTGATCACTCTTTCCTAGTGCTGTGCAATTAGTCTGGAGTGGTTGTGTTTGAACTGGAGTTTACATACAGAACAGCTCCACTTAGATAAAGAAGAGAAGAAAGTGCATTTGGATGCTAGCTAGGCCTTGGTGTTCCTGCAGTATGAGAGCAGAGAGGACATTCTGCTCCTCAGAGAAAGTAGCACTACTTTATCAAATAATTGTTTCGATTTAACAGCATGTTGTGATATTGGTTTGAACATATTGCCTTGTACTTTTCATAGCATATATATTAGAGTCTTCCAAGGATCCTTTGTGACTCATGCACAAGGCAGACACTTTGCATAGCAGTCGCTGGGCTCGGATGATAGTTATCAGTCTTCTCTTAGATGACTATGCAGTGTTTCAGCAGTGGCCATACGCTGCACTCCCTGAGAGGTTGAGGGGCTGAAGAAGGGGTGGTGCTGGATGAGGTCATCACTACCACATGCCCCCCTCGAGGCTGTCCTAAAGAGGCTTAAGTCCTGAGTCAGTGTTTGCTGCACACTTTGAAACTGGCCTATGCTGGAACTGCTTGCCACTTACAAGTGGGTCCATCTTCCCACCCCATCATATTTCATGAGTTCAATAGTACTTGACTAGCATTTTCTATTCTGTTTAATTCTGCCACTTGTTGATATTCATATATTTCTGTCCCTTTACTTTTTAGACGTCTTACATGTATTTTAGAGTATTGGTATATTATGGCAAGGGTACATTCAGCATGGTGGTTGCATATATGCCTATCCATGGGACCCAGTAAATTGCCATTCTTCCCAGTTGGCCCAGTGTGCAAAAATGGGGGTTGAGGTTGTCAAGCACCTTGCAGAACCTAACTCTAGGCTGCTGGGGTGTGTTTGGCTTGGTGGCTCATGTTATCCACATTTGCATTAGGGGATGTCACATCCCCTGGTTTTTACAGTGTCAGTTGCTTTTCATAGTGTTCTGTGACTTATGAGAGAAACTTTAGCAACTTACAAGATAGATCGCATAGCTTTTCTTTTCCCTCTCTGTTTACAAAATTAGTCTAACATGATCCTGTAGAGTAAACAGGATTACCACTGTTCAAACATTGTTAATTCATTCAGGATGGACTTGGATCACAGCACACAAGATACTAAATATGTAGTTTAACTTGGTATGGATTTCTTTCACAGTAAATAGGAATGGATGGATCTGGAAATGCTAATAAAGTTTAGGACTGTGAATTGTGAGGAGGGGTGTTGAACCCTTTCTTTGTACACAGCAAGAGCCATTCAGCACCCAAGACAGCTGTGGGAGCTTAAAGGGGAAGTTTGTAGGGATCAGTGGTGTAATGAACCAAGGCTTAGAGGGTCAAAGCACTAGGACCTTTTGATTAGCAGGGATGATGACACCATCTGCCACCTGCCTCAGATTTTCCTGTTCCAGCAAACAATTCTCACAGTAGTTGAAGGTGAGAGAGAGAGTTTACCTAGCAACAATCATATGTACACACACACATTTGGGTATGTGGTTATAGATTCTCCTCATTGGGGGGATGCTATAGGAACTGCTGTCCACAATGATGTAAGGAACTAGTACACTACTTTTAAGGCAAGGAAGATGGCATGGAGGAAGTGGTGAATCCCTAGTCATACACTAGTATTAATCCCAATCACCTCCTCCCACCACTATCTACACAGGGTGTTAAGCCACATAATTAAGATCACATGTAGTTTGGCCCTCAGATAACCTTTTTAGCAGTTTGTTTGCAGAATGATAAGGTGAAGGGTTTTCTTAACATCGGCTGATACTACTCTTAAGAAACTTGATCATAACCAGGTTTCCATCCTCTACACACTTACTTGGGAATAAGTAGGACTTATGTCTAGTAATATAAGATTATTTCATTAGCCACTTTCTGGTGAAAGCTGCTGACAATGAGATTATCATGGGAAAACAGCACTATATAAGACAACCTGAAGTCATCTATTTTTAACTTCTTTGTTTGCTCTTCTGATTTGCTAGGAAGTTCACTGTGGAAAGAGTCAAACTCGCTTTTAATCAGCTAGTTCCAAATATACCATGGATCATCTTGGATCATTATTGGGTCATCTTGGGCAGCTTCACTGGGGTGCAGGAAACCTCTAATTCCACAAAGCAGGAATGGCAGCCTACTACCTTCCAGGCATTTTGGATCCCAAATTTGTATTCTCTGACCATTGGCCGTGCAGGCTTGGACTTATGGGAGCTGCAGTGCAAAACAGCCGGAGGGCACCATCTTGCTTACCCTGGTCACAAAGAGTGGCAATCATGCACTAGTTTTCCAATATGTGGACCACAGAATTATGCCACTGTTTTGGGCCAGCAGGATTAGAAGGGTCAGTGTAAGAGAACACATGCAAGAGGTGACTGATCTTACAATGGTGTTACAGCCAGGTACACAGTACAGAGATGCAGGCAACTATTTATAAATGTCCCACATGTTTTAAGCCAATGTCCTCCTTCAGGGGCAGAAGATAATCAAAACATTTCATCCTAAAATCTATATTGTCTCCCACTCAAGGCACAAGAGTGGCTTCTAATATTGCTTACAGCACAATCCTATGCAAATTTAGACAGAAGGTCTGCCACTTCCAGCAAGGCTGGCTGGGCATGCTGGCAACTGTGGGCCTTGTTTTCGGTTTAAGTCTGCATAGTTTTGAACCCTTAGGCTGCTAGAGTGAGGCATCTGTTACTATGGAAGGAATAGCCCCTCACATTTCTATCTTTTGCTTTCTTTTTCCTGTTATGACCATGCTGGACATAGCATTGGAAGCCCTTGGGGTACTGCTTTTGCACCAGTGTGACCTTCATATTTAATGGGACAGAAAAAGCATAAGATTTCCTCCCTGGATGAACCAGCTTCTTTCTATATTGAATGCCAACCATTTTTCTTCTTTGTTGGAACAGGCAGAAGTGACAAGTAGTTG